TTTTGTTTATGGAATTATATCCTCACTGAGCGCACGTCACCTCCAGTTGTCTCCAAGCTTATCAAGGTTACTTTCATACTATTGCTACAGGCTCTTATTTCAATCTTCAAATGCTCTATCAAGAAAAGAAAATTAAAAAAATTAGTGGATTATGGAACCTGGAGAGTCGTCTTGCGTAACTTGCAATATCTTCAGTTTCAAAAGACATACCTAAAAATGACTTACAGATATGAAAGCAGAAAGAACAGATGCACATGTGAGGGAAATATTGTTGCAGTATTAGTGATAGTGTTTATATCATCAACTATCAAACTTCAAACGCGATTTTCTCAGCTTCGTTTTTTTTACCACCTTCTGAAGGCTTCCGCAACTTTTTGCCAAGTTCTTCTTGTCCGATCATCAAAACATTTATACACTCTTATTCGCATGTGGCTTAGCTGCAGGCCGACATTCTTCTTTTTTTTATAAGCCTCAGGCATAAATTATAATTGGCTAATTAGATTACATTATTTCGGTTCAAAATTTTGTAACATTTTGTTGACATATCTCCATAAGATAATGTCATTTTAGAAAAAAAACGAGAATGTCATGCGCTTCAGCAGCTCTTTGGCTATCACTTCATGTCATTAAAGTAGCAGAATGAGTTGAGAAAGTTGATTAAAGTTGCGTAAGATATTGCATAATAAGTTTCATATTATCCAGTAAAACTTTTTTTCTATAAACAGTAGCTCTAATCTGAGTGCATATTTGGTGTCTGTATAGGAAAACACACTAGCATGCAAAATTTGGTGGCATTCTGACCAGAAATAAAAAAAATTGTTTCAAGACCCTAGTGCCCCCTTAAGCTGCCCCTGTGGCTCCACTCCAAGGCAAAGCGCCGGCCTACGGATGCCCAGGTGGCGGGTCCGAATCCCGGCCGAGGTGCCCACAATTTGACGGAGGCCTATTGCGGAGAAGGCTCCGTGTGACCGAGCTTTTGGTTGCACGTCAAAAGATGCCAAGGTGGTCCAAATTAATCCTCAGACCTCCGCTGGGGCGTGCCAGATGCCCGTCATTGGTTGACATGTAAAACCCCCAAATTTGACTGACTGGCAAAGCTTTGGATCCCCTCTCAGCTGATAACAACATATTAAATTTCTCTCACTTGGTATGTAAAAAGGGACTAATTTTGATGTAGAAACTGAAGATGGCAGAAAACGAACGAATTGAACGGACAACACACAACTCTGCTGCCAGGCGTTAGACTTGTGAGCCATTTATCCTTTTTAAAATTTTCGACAAGCCTTGGATCACTATCATAATTCAGAAGCCCATACTAATTGAAGGCTTACTATCTAGGTTTCATTGATTTCCCTGCTTTCATGTTTTACCCATGTCATAATACCGACTCGCATTCCTGCTAGAAGGTAATTGCCTAATTTATTGCATATTGATAAACTAAATGAGCGCTTTCCTTCTAGTGTTTTTTCTCTTTTGCTTAGACGAAGTAAAGTGCAGTTACTGAACAATTCCTTTAAATTGTCTGTTTTCGAATGCACAATTTCTTGATATAAACAAATTCACAAATGCAAGCTAGGTATCTTGAAACTCATAAATAATGTGTCCTTCAAGTAGCTCGAGGTCCCATGTTACGCTGCATAGGTGCATACTAGTACCATAGCACATTGGTGATGTGACACAGCTTGGCAAGAATAGGAACACTGGATCTCAGTCGTTCCTGGGTTGCTAATTTCTGTCGCCCGTTTTCGTTCTAGGCTGCAAGCTGCTGCTATTGACGCTGCCCAAAAGGAAAATGCAACCATGGACAACCATTAATTTGAACACTTTATTTGTATTAAGCCTGACTCAAACCAAAAAAAAAAAAAAATTCTTACTTTTACCGCAATTAGGTGACAATTCCTGCTAGACGCTATGACATCACTGCGGGAGGAACGCTAAACAAACGCTCAATGACGTCATAGCGTCTCTCAAAAATCGTCCTACTTTCGGTAGAAGGAAAAAGAAAAATCATTTTTGGTCTGAACTGGGTTTTAGTGTTTCCTTTTCTACAGTAATAAATGTGCTCCTTTTAATTTTGCTTGTTTCTTATATCTTGTAAAGGTATCTGGCACCGTTTAGTGTGACTGCAAAGAACTCATTAAAAAAAAACTAGAAAAGATGCGTTTTCTAAAATATTGTGTTATTTCAGAACAGGCTTCAAATGTTTTGTATATAGTAAAACCCTATTTGTTATGAACATATCCAACTGGCATATCTAGACATACTTATGTGAGACATGCACACATGTGAGGCATACAGAAAACCAATTTCTCTTGCTAGCTATCTTTCTAATTGGTTATAGTTTGAATTAGAAATGTACAAACTGGAGGTTTTCTAATGGGAATTTCAGACCAATGGGAGAAATACCAATTGGTGTGCTTCTGATTGGGACCATTCCAATCAGAACCACACCAACTAATATTTCTCCAACTGGGCGCTCCAAAACACAGTTGGTCATGGTGCCAATTGGAAAAAAAGCCAATTGGTAATACTGAACCAATTGGCATTTTTTCTAATGGGGCGTTCTAAAACACAACTGGTTTTGGCAAGTGGTACCAATTGAAAAATCCAATTGGACCCAATGGGTATTTTTAACTGGGAATGCACTTCTCTATCACAACTAGCTGTGGGGAGTGCGATTGACTTGCAGAGGCGCAGAGGCGTGACAGTGTATATGCAAAGCGCAATTCACACGTGCACTCGCGGTTCAGATTACAGCTTATACTCCATTCCCAGGGGAAAATATGAAGTGGGATTTCAAGTGGTCCCACTTGCTTTCAGGTGATCCCACTTGTGACCACTTGGATTGCAAGTGGTTTCTGAAGTGGGACCACTTGGGCTACAACTGGTCCAACTTGACTTCAAGTGGTCCCACTTGTGACCACTTGGACTGCAACTGGTCTCTGAACTGGTCCCACTTGCCTTCAAATAATTGACGGATGAATAGTTCCCTTCAGCTAAAGATAGTGTCCACTCACAATTAAATGGTCTCTGATGTCCAGTTCAGTCCAACTGCCAAGAATTTGACAGTTGACTTTAAGTCATACACTTTGTACTAAAGGTTATTTCCAAAATGCACTTGGAGAGCCAAGTCTAATTTATTAATACACTTGACTCCTTTCCAGACTAGATAAAGTATCCTAATTATTAAAGAAAAAACAGTGCAGAAACCACACCAGCAGGCAAAACATATGACCTCTATTTTGTGGGTCACCTCTGTTGTTCGTCATCACACTTTTGCAGTTTTTATTTTAGTGAGTACCAACTAGACCATGTTAATGACTTGCTACAGTTAACTGAACTGGACTGAGCATAATTATTTTTAATCAAAAACATGCAAGTGGAAGTCAAGCTGATTATGCCTCTCTCAACAAGGTGCAACTACGTAAATATTTCTTGAAAACTTCAACTCTGCAGTGTTGTAGATTACTCAGCTGAGGTTGATGCCTCGACTGCTCATTCAGGGAAATGAATGGGATATTCAAAGATGGCAAGAGGGTGTAAACAATTTCAGACTGTTCCACCAGAAGTCTTGTAAAGACCAATGACTACAAAAAAAAATACTTTTGCACAGGTCAAAACTGGCATATGTATTCAGCTCTGTTAGGGACGTTTTCAGCACAATTGCTTGCATATGCACAAGTTAAAAATAATGAGGAGTAAAAATACCAATCAGGATATCAAAAGTAAACTTGGTTTGACAAATTCACAAAATAAAAACAAAACAGAATAGGCAAAGTGAATAGTATCTAACTTACAACAAATATTAATGGGACAAGTTTTCAGTTACAGTTGAGCTAACATAGAAAGAGGCGACCTATAAAATGTTTAAATACCAGAACAAAAGTTTCACCAGTTATCCCATTTTATATTTTACAAAGAAATATGAGCATAAAACTTTCAAACAGAGATAAGCACTTGGTGTTTGTAATGTTATAAAAATACAAGAAGCCTAATTTTAACCCGTCTCTTAGCTGATAAAATTGATTTTACTGCAGAGAAAATTTTTTTTTTTCACAATAACAGTGACAGAAATCCCAGTGGCTACTTGTACAAATCTGTGAGGTACTGCATGATGCTGTCCATGCTAGGCCATACTTTATGGCAATGTCCATGGCAAGGACAAGAGCGTCGCCCACGGACATTGTAGTTCCATTACTGAGGGAGCTCACGAACTTAAAGAGAAAGAAAAAAAAAAACGGCGAGCTGGAAGAACTGGACGAAGTAGCTTCATCGGCGAACGTGGAACCACTGTGTTCGGGACTTGCAGTACCACTCGGTTCTGAAACACCACCCGGATCTTCAAAGAGGCTGTCGTCCGGTGCATTGACAGAAGAGGTGTCAGGGTCACCCCAATTCAAGAGGTGGACGAGCATCACCTGAAGATGCAAGCGTCCTTTTCCTTAATTCATACTCCGTTGACCTTGGCAAAGGCTCATCCCAAGCATCGGGCTCGAGGTTGCACTTTCGAGTCTTGTGCTTGCTCATTTTTCTTTTCACAAAGAAAGCAGTGGAAAAACGGCATAACCAAATCGAACACGCACAAGTCCAGTCCGTTCAAACCAAAGTTTGCTGGATTAGGCACAGTCTTTCAATCTCGCACTTCAGATAGCATCTGTTAAATTTAGACAAACATTAGTTTCCGCCGAATCGAACAATTCGCCTACAAAAGCGTGAAACGTGCTGGGGCAGCTGGGGAAAACGGTGATGGCGATGGAGCTTGCCACCTGCCCTTGAGTCATGTGGGGTAAATTCTCCATTTTGAGACAAATACAAATTGAATGGATAAACTTGTTATGTCTACATATTCCAGAAAGCTAGATTTACTTTTTGTTTATTTATACTTCAAGTAAAAGTATTTTTTGCCTCGTTTGCCTTCACATTTTTAATGTAATCGCAAGATGGAGAAAAAAAACTTGTCAAATCCGTCATGACCCCGTGAAATCCGTAGCAACAGCCACTTTCTGGTTCTAGCAGTTCTAGGCCTAGTCTCCTATGTCGACGCGCGGAGAACGCAAATACGTAGTTAAACGTTACGAGAACCACGAAAGCCCGGGCATTAACTAACGTAAAATGTTCGTGCTGGTCCGTTTTTTTAATGAATTTGACGGAAAAGTGTATGTGGTGCCCGTTCGGTGCATTAAGGACTTCCATCCGTTAAATGAAAATGACTTTGACAAGAATGGTGTCTACACAACGTACTGGGAAGACCTAGAGAACTCCGAAAATACAGGATCCTACTCTTCGCAGGTGCTGCTTCTCGCAAGTAATTGCATGTTCGTTCACACAACTCCTTGTATTATAAAGAGCGTGGTGAGCACATGCATGCGGTGCGTCACGTCAGAGAAACGTTTCTGCGCAGAGCTTAGTGGACATTCTCCCAGCTGTAAATAATGTCCGACATAGGGCGTCTGTCGTCTACATCGCTGAATGCTTAAAGGGGCCCTGCAATCATATTTCAGCGTCTACCTTTTTTGCGGTTTCCACGTCTCTTGGGGTTGGGGCAAGCCAGCGGGCACGGAGAGAGTAACTAAATATCAGTGCGTCATATTTTAACCGGACGACGCGGAAACCTCCTCCACCGACGAGGGCGACCCGCGGTACCGACAGCGTACAAAATGTGACGTCTTTGGTCCTGGGCTTGCCACTGGTCAAAGCCGCTAAGAGCTTTTTTTTAGTCGAGATACAAAATATAAGTGTCGTGAACCGTTTCAATTATGTATGAAAGTAGTTTTTGTTCACTATTTTAGGTCAGAAAAGAAACAAATGCAGTTTAGAAAGTACGGAAACGAGAAATGACCCATCGACATACCCGCCACCAAGCAGCGGAAAAAAACGGCGCATACTAGAAAAGGCTAGTGGGATGAGGCTACGACAAACGAGGAGCGTAGAAAGGTCCCGGATGTACGCGGCGGCGCTGTGGTCGTATACCGGCTCAAGAATCCGACCGGTTCCGAGCGTTCCGAAGGCCTTCGGCGTGGGCCCTGCTGGCGATTCGGCCATTTGGCGGTGCGTCAGCGCGAAGTGGCTCTTGTTCTGAACTGATCTTTACCCAGTGTTTGCTTTCGTTTGTGGCCAATGAAATGTTAGGCCGAATTAGTGTTTAGTCGCGCTGCAAATGCAATACGAGCTGCCCTGGCCGTCCGCTTCATACAGCCTATCCAACACCCACCACGTGCTTTAGTGGCGCCCTCTCGAGCCGTCGACACGGAGTGTGGCAGCCGTGTGCGCTCGATGAGCTCACTACTCCTCCTCTAGTTCAAGGCTACTCAAGGCAGGACCTACGACGTCATGAAGGAGGTTATTTTTTGCTTGTTTTTGTAATTCTAATTTGCCTATAACTTTTAAAATAAAGCGAAATTTGAGAAAAGAAAAGTTGGATTGAGTTACTACGTTCAGTACGCTCAGGTTCAGTACAAATTAAAAACCAGTCAAAAAGTCATTGCAGGGCCCCTTTAAAAAAGATTGCAACTGCCTCAACGCTCCGCTTATACTGCACTGCAGCTAAAGCTACAAGCGCGAGCTAGCCCGCGCTCCAGGCTACGAGACGTGCAGTTCGCACGTCTCATAGGCCATACAGGGCTACGGCATCTACTTTACTTTTATTTCAGCGCAAAAGACGAGGACAAGAAAGGGACACGGCGCGCAGTCCTCGTCTTTTACTTCAAATTGCTGTTATGGATCACTAACTAGCTCAATTGTCAACCCTAGCCGACATTATTTTCTCGGGCTCAATATTTCGCGAATTTGGCAAGGCGAGCAAGAAATTTGGCAAATCGGGGTGGTATGCTATGTATTTATCACCACAGAGAAATATGCTTCCGTATTATTCACGTTGCGAAATTCGCAAAAATCGGGTCCTCGCGGAAGGCGGAACTTTTCGTTTACAATACAGTTAAACCTCGATGTAACGAAGTCGGTGAAATTCGCAATTTACTTCGTTACATTGAAATTTCGCTAAATCGAAATTTGGCTTTAGCATGCAAAAAAAATTCCGAAAAATTTTACGGGTATGAAAACTCACCGAAAATGACATTTATTTTGGGGCAAATTAGTCCGCGAGTTTTGCTTGCGCCTTGTCCGACAGTAGCAGCGGCGTCATACGGCGTTCGAGCGCCCAGAGCGCTTGAACGGCATCTTGCTGCCCACGCGACGCCGTGTACCTCCTCAGTACGCCCATTGCGTCGAGCACTTCCCGAGTGCTCGTGATCTCAGCAGTTTCTTCACGACGGCGTCCAAATTAAACGTTTGCTTTCTCATCCAAAGAAAGAACTTTACGTTTCCTTATGGCAGCAAGCACGTGAGAGAACCGCCCGGTTGAAAAATAAAGCTGTTTAGTTTAGGCGGTGCCAATGTTTCCAGCCTACACAGCACTCTTGCCCGTACAGTTTACTCAGGTTTACTTGCCCCCTTGCGCCCACAGTGTGCTTGCGCCTTTGCTTTACATCACGCTCGCAAGACGATAATCGGTCTTCTTGGTCTTCTCCTAGATGGCACTGCCCGTGCGGTCGCGCGACTCGCGCCTGGGTCGCGCCATAACGTCGCTCCCCCGCTGAAGTTGGCTCCCGCGCTACCCGCGGTACAGTGGACTATGATGATCAGTGAATGTCAGTGGTGATGCTGTTATGCCGTGTAAACTTTTTGCTCGGCATTTTTCTGGCCAGCCCCGCAGAATCCGCTTTGCCGCATGCCTCGCCGGCACTACCGGCGCTGCATCCTCGGGCAGCCTAGGAACGTTGGAAGGCCTGTCCCCGTGAAGTAACCTATGAAGCGCTCGCGTTTGCGCATAATTTTTTTTTAACCACAATTTTTTTGCGAAGTTGTTTTTTAGAGTTTATTTATTTATTGCCTTCTATGGCAATGGCGCTTCGTTATATTGAAATAGCAGCAAAATAGACTTCGTTACATAGAGACTAAAAATACATGGGGTCTATGGGCAAGAAATTATGAAAAATAAAATACTTCGTTAAATCGAGGATTTCGTTACATTGAAGTTCGTTATATCGAGGTTCGACTGTATATACATTGTAGAGTGTAGTAGTTCAATTTTTTTCATTTAGTTTCGCTCGCCACACTAACCAGGTGGCGCCACGAACTGTCACTGCATATCGCTGTAGCCAGGCGGCGCTACACTTCATCCATTGGGCCGTGCGCCCAGGTGGATCTCCCCCGGGGCGGTTGGCCCCCGGGTTGTTTCCCTCTAAATAAACGAGTACGTGTTCTGACCTCGGCCGATGTAGACGTCCCTTCCTTCCGGGTCGTTCCCGCCTCGGACCCGCCGGTGCTCGCCGCCCCACCTCGGCATGTGAGACAACATCTTTCAGCAGGCCGCCTCGGCGCTGCTTCTTTTCCTTTCTTTTCTTTATTTATTGGGCTCTCCGAATCACAACATTTTTGGCGAAGGAGGATGGGATTTTCTTTGTTTTCCGATTCGGAGCCCGCTGCATAAGGCTTAGCCCCGGCAGCCGGTGTTTCACGTCCTTTGTCTTGTGACGCCACGTTTTCCCGCGCGAGGTGTGCCGGATTGGGCCCCGGCAACCTCTCGTTCCCGTTCAACGAAATTCTTTTCCCGTATACGTTTCGCCGGATTGGGCCCCGGCAGGCGTAAATTTTTTTTTTTGCGCATTTCGTGGAAAATTTCTTTTTCTTTCCACTTACGTTTTCGAGCGGCGTCGCGCCGTTGGGTTTCGTTGCGGAGCTTTCAGAGGGCTCGCGTCCTATACTAAGGTCTGTCTGACGGTAGTGGGCTTGGCTCCTTGTGAATGCTGTCCCCCACGGGATTTTGCCTTTGTCCCCGGGCGTCGAGGTCGGGACCGTACTCCGCGTAGGCGTTGCGTGTATTACAAATGTCACCATACATAGTTGTCTTGTTAGTATCTTAGGCGCACATGTAAAAAATCGTTGTAAAACCCTTGTCGAGTGAAAGACCCGCGGAAGCTTGTCGCGGCGTAAGGGAGCGCATAAGGCGCGTTCGCTCCGGTGAGCGGGTGGTGACGTAAATTTAGACGCCTCCGGTCGTCGGATGCGCGCGGCGAAGAGAGAAGCCGCTCTGCTGCGGAGTCGGCAGGTTGAAATGATGCGAAGGATGCGCGTTGAGAACACGCGTTGAGCCTAGACGAGGGTTGGCTCCTCGACAAAATGTGGATTGCTTAGCGGTTAAAGATCGCTAAAGGAGTACAGGGCCTGCGAGGAAACGAGGTCTTTGCATGCCGGTAGTCGCCATAAAGTCTTAAAGCGGTGGGCCGCGAGAACAAAGGAAGTCTTGGTCCGTTGTGTCCAGGATGGCGGCTCCACAGGGTCGCGTTCCCGCCGACTTCCTCCCCACGCCCGGCACGCCGGTAATGCCGTGGCTTACGTGGAAGCGTGGCTTCCTTAACTATCTTGAGGCGACTGACCCCGACGGTTTTCCGTCAAAGCGGAGAAGGGCGATCTTGGTCTCCTTTTTGGGAGAAGAAGGGAATCGAGTCGTGGATGCGTTTGGCCTCGCTGGCCCGGCCGTTGGCGCGGCCCAAGATGAGTTTCAGGTGTTATTGTCCGCTCTGGACACTCACTTCGCTTCCGCTCAGAACGTTGTCGTCGAACGCAGGAAGTTTGTCACAAGGGTGCAGGGCCCAGGGGAGACGGTCCTGGAGTATCTTGGGGCGCTTCGGCGCTTAGCCTCGTTTTGCGACTACGGAGAGTCGTTGGAAAGCCGCGTCGCGAAAATGTTTATCTCGGGAATCCGTAACGCGGAAGTCCAAGATCGTCTTATCAGAGAGTCCGGTGGAGCTCACGCACCGAGCCTCAAGCGTGCTGTCCAGCTGGCGCAGCAATTCGAGCGGACGTTTTGTGATTGCGATCTTTTCCGACGCTTATCGCTAGACGCAACCCCGAACGCGCCGCACGTGGTCGAGCGGATCCAAGATGGACGCGGTCGCGACCGGGATGCTCAACATGGCGAGCAGCCTCCCCGCCGCCGCGGATCTTCCCCCCCCGAGGCGTGAGCGTCCCCTTCCTCCTCCCCCGTCTCCGTCGCAGCGAGAGCCCTCCTACTCTTCCCTTCTGAGGCGTGAGCCTCCCTCTCCTCCGTCAGGACGCGCGCAGACTTTCCCTCTCCCGCCGCGTCAAGACCGCCGGCAGCCGCGAGCTCCCTCCCGCCCGTTCTCCGGTGCGCGCCCACGTGACCCTCCCCCCGGGACGCGTCCTCCCGTTCGCGAGGGCGGATGTTTTTTTTGCGGAAGACGGAGCCACCCGCGGGATGAGTGCCCAGCATCGGGAGCCACATGC